ACCTGCCCAATTCAAATTTTTAAAGAATTATTTTTTCGATGGGCTTTTGTACCTCTTTTTCCATTTGGTTAATTCTGGTTTTTAAAAAGTGTTTTTCTTTAGTGAATTTTTGTACCTCTTTTTCCATATTGTCTATTCTTTTTAAAGAGTTCTTTTCTTCAGTGACTTTTTGTGCCTCTTTTAGGCCAATTCTGCTTTTTTTTTTAAGGCATTATTTTCTTCAGTATTTTTGTGCTTCTTTTATCAAGCTATTAATTCTCTTTTCATAATTTTTCTTGCATCAATATCATTTCTTTTCCTAGGCCAATTCTATTTTTTTAAGGCATTATTTTCTTCAGTATTTTTGTGCTTCTTTTATCAAGCTATTAATTCTCTTTTCATAATTTTTCTTGCATCAATATCATTTCTTTTCCTAGGTTTTCCTCTACTACTCTTATCACGTAACTCTCCCAGGAATTCTTGTTGGGCTTGGATCTGATTAGCATTTCTTTTTGAGGCTTTATTTACAGCTGTTTTTACATTATTGTCTTCTTCTGAGTTTATGTCTTGGTCTTCTCTGACACCATAGTAGCATTTTATAGTCAAGTTCTTTTTTTGTTATTGTTGTTTGCTCATTTTCCTACCTATTTCTTGACTTTGAATTGTATATTGAAGTTGGGCTCTGCTTATCTCGGGGTAGAAAGGCACTGTTCCAAGCTTCACACTTTTTTGTGCTGTTGTTTTCACAGCTAGTTCTGAGGATCTGCAAGTTTTCAGTGTTTCCAAGGTGGTGTGATTTGGGGAGAGGTGTGGTTACTGCTCTCCCAGTCTGCATTTTTTTTATTCACCCTACTACCCTGCAGTCACGAGTTGTTCTTCTTAGTCCTGGAACAATGACCAGGTCCCCTGCTCTCATATAGCCAATAGAGTTGCCAATCAGTGCCAGCAAAGAGTCCCACATAATCTTTCTGACCAGTCCTTTGAACCCCTTGCCACCTCTGGGTTGAGAGCTCCCAAAGTTGCTGCCACTACTATTTCAGCTACCTTCCAAGGCCCACAACTGGGCTGCTGCTGCTGCACCCTGGGCTGCTGCTGCTGCTGCTCCCACCCCAGTGTTACAAAGCTCTCCTGTCAACCTCCTAAATTGTCTTAGGTTGGAAAAATGTCTCACTCTGATCTTTTGTTGGCTTTGCTGCTTTAGAATTTGATTTGAGGTGTTATTTTAAAGTTGTTTGCAAGGGAATGTTAGGAAAGTTCATCTGGATGGATGCCTATAATCTGTCATCTTGACTGGCTTCTGCCCTTGCCTCATTTTCAAGGTACTCTTGTCCCTGTACATTTATGACATTTGTTCTTCCAACTGCCTGCCTGGCTTTGACCTACTACTACAGCTGAACTTCTGGATTCTGCCTGATTCCAGTTTTCTGATTACTGACCTGACTTGACATACTTCCCTACCAGCATTTCTGGCTTCCATGAAGTCTTTCAATCTAATCAGTCATGTCCATTCACTCCTGCCCATTGATTCCAGACTTGACTTTAGCCCTCCCAGAAATACTGGATCTGTCTATGGCCCACATGACAGGGCAAATGTGCTTTCCTGATCTGCTGTGGTGTGCAATTCTACCAGGGAATGGAAGGGACAGAGGAAACCTTTGTAAAGGGATTACTATGGTCTTCTACTATTCCTAGTGCTTTTCATTTTAGTCCTTTTAGATAATTTTGTTAAAACATCAGAGAATAAAAGCTTCAAATCCAATGATTAGCTGCAAATAACTTAGCATTTGCAGTGTGAACCAGTTCCCCTAGCCCAATAATGGACTTCCAATTTCATTTTTTTAAATTTATTTATATTTAGTTTTCAACTCTCACTTCCATAAGATTTTGAGTTTTAAAATTTCTCCCTATCTCTCCCTTTTTCCACCCTAATATGGCATGCAATTTGTTATAAGCTCTACATACATATTCATATTAAACCTATTTTCACATTAGTCATGTTGTAAAGAAGAATTAGAACCAATGAGATAAACCATGAAAAAGAAGAAACAAACAACAAAAAAAAAAAGAGAGAGAGAGAGAGAGAGCAGATAGTATGCTTTGATCTGCATTCAGACTCCATAGTTATTTCTCTGGATTTGGACATCATTTTCCACTGCAAGTCTTTTGGAATTGTCTTGGGTCACTGTATTTCTGAGAAGAGCTAAGTCTATCAAAGTTAGTCATCACACAATGTGGCTGTTACTGTATACAGTGTTCTCCCGGTTCTGCTCACTCCAGTCAGTATCAGTTCACATAAGTCTTTGCAGGTTTTCTACCTGCTCATCATTTCTCATGGAGCAATAGTATTCCATTACATTCATATACAAATTGTTCAGCCATTCCGCAAATGATGGGCATCCCCTTAATTTCCAATTCTTGGCCACCACAAAAAGAGCTGCTATAAATATTTTTGTATATGTGGATCCTTTTGCATTTCTTGTGATCTCTTTGGAATACAGACCTAGAAGTGGTGTCACTGGGTCAAAGGGCATGCACATTTTTATAGCCCTTTGGGCACAGTTCCAAACTGCTCTCCAGAGTGGTTGGATCACAAACTTCCAATTTTGGAAAATGACATCCTTATCACCTTTGCTCATAAGTATTCTCAAGTTCTCAAGCTGAAGATAGATTGGGGAAGACTGAAATTATGCACTCTCAATTTGATGACTTCTCTGGCTGTCATTGTAGGTCTCTCAAGTGGAGCATCTTCTACCATTGCCTCCATCTCCCCACGGTCATTCCCTGCTCCCTTGGTCTGCCCTCTCTGAAAGGCTAGCATTTTCATTACTCTAAAGAGAGGCTGTCTCCCAGGTTCTTGCTGTAGATTCTTGATATGACCTTCCTAACACAAGACCCCATGTTCTTTGTCCTGTTCCACGCTGCCTCTTCACTATCTCTTCATTATCTCAGCAGGGAAGAGGAAATACCTTGGTAGCCAGTGATGATGGGCCAGATATTTGAGGAGATCTTCATGAGATGTTTTTGCTGGTTTTCCTATTGGAAAAATGAGTTGGCTTCATCTGCAGGGCTCTCTGCAGGGGAGTCATGGCTTTCTGCTTTGTATGCCTGTGTTTTCCTTGGGTCAGCATGTTCCTAAAGAAACTTGACTTCTGCTTTCCACTCAGCCACTGGCTTTCTATGTGACTCTGTACATACCATTTCTTTTCTCTGGGCCTCAGCTGATCCTATCGATAAAATGCCATTAAACTTGGATGAGTCAGTCCAAATTCACTATTTATTTTCTCTTCCTGTTGAATGAGATTCTGCTAGAATTCATTGACTTGTTGCGCACATGTACATCTTTTTGTGAACAAAAAAGAGGGGAGGAAGGGCACCAGTGACAGAAATACTCCCACTCTGGCTGCAGCATGCAGTATTACTAAGAAAGTACAACACCTGTGCTCAGAAGAGAAGGTAGTTTGGGCGGGGAGCTGGAGAGAACACCAGGAGAACTCAACAAACTGCTGAGACCGCACAGGATGCCTCCAGTGCATTGAAGGAACTGCTGTTGGAGAACTCCCAGGAGGATACCCTTTCCCCAATCTGAGAAGGTGGGGCTCATGCAGGGTGGGAAAGTATGCCCACGTGGACAACTTTGTGGCTCTGTTGAGATACTTTGATGGAAGATGCCTCTGACTGCCCAGAGAGAGCCTCAGCTCCCCAGGCTCACTGGGTGAGTCATCATGGGCCTCACAAGGCTCATTTCCCAAATCTGAATCTCTTTGGGAATCCTGTAGCTTGTGTAGCTGAAGTCCTGGGAGTTTCCTCTTGGCCCTGGCTTGCTGTGTCATTTTGGATGTGTCATTTGCATTCTCTGGGCCCCAGCTGCCCCTGTCCATCATATGATATTAAATTTAGTCATCTCAAAGGGCCATCTTAATTTTATGTTTCTGAAATATTATAGCAAGGAATTAGTTGAAAAATTAATTGAGCTCCCCCTCCCCTTTTCAAGCAAGAATGTATTTGCTTGCAAAACTGCTTCATGGGGCTTGGATAACAATCCTCATAATCCTGTCTATTTAGCAGCTATAACATTTCAGTGGGAGGTATACCTTTATTGTTGCTTTGGAATATATAATTAGGATTAGAACATGCTGCCCCCAATTACCATAGAAACGCACTGAAATTTCTCCTCAAACCTTATTACTTTTTTGAAGTCTTTCTCTCTTCCTTTCTTAATGAGAGAGACAGAGGCAGAGAGGGAGAAAGAGAATCAATCCTTTCTTTTCCTTTTTGGTTCATTTACCAAGAGAAGCTATTGCCAACCACAACAAGTGGTATAGAATGAACCCCTCTTCTCCTTGAAAAACCAGAATCTCTTAATAGCCTGTCACCCATTTAAATTAAATATATTTTTCCAGCTAAAATTTAAATAGACATTTTGGCATCAGACATTTCCCCAATCTATGGTAAATTTCAGTCCATTCCTTTGGCAGGGTTTATGCTCACTTGGATTAGAGAAGGTCAGGCTACACTCAGTTTCGATCGATGTCCGATTAAGTACGCTGGTCTGAGCAGCTGAACTGAAGCAGCTTCTCGAGGAGACTGGATCTATAAGTCTTTGTCTTCCTCAGCAGCAGGGCCTAGCTTTTGCCCCCAGATTGCAGAGATCATTTCTCATCATGCTGCTTGAAAAGTTGTTCCAAGTTCTCCTTCTGGATTTTAAAGCAAAAGCTCAAGCAATGGTGCTAATTTGCTTTTCTGAGATAGGAGAGCAGGATGTGGGCTCATCAAATGACTTCTGGGCCTTCTCCTCCTTGGAGAGCGGTACCTTGTGGGCAGAAAACTGAAGTTTTGCAAAGACATTCATTTTCCAACAAGGAAAGGAATGCTTAGTTCAGTATTTGTTGCCCTCCTGAGGTGAGGTGAATGTTCCGATATTAGGGGAGGCTTTTTATAGCCCACATATGGGTATTTGTGTTTGACAGACTTGTCCTACTCAGTGGGAATGGTCTTGAATGTCTGCTTTTTGCTCATTACAGAATCCTCCACTGTATTCTCCATATTGAGATGGTCATTCATCAACCTTGATTACGGTGGTCCAAATGTGAAAAGCAATTGGCACCTCCCATTACTTGTGTCCTTCCTCAGACAAAACCCATCAATCCTGTCTGGAACTCCTTGGGAGCCTGGTATGTTGACTACTGAAGGGACCGCACTACCAGACTAATACGAACTTATTATTCCATTCCAGAAAGCAAACTTGCCCTTTTGACAATATGGTGAAGTGGTTAATGTTTGCCTTTGTCGCCCTCTCTTCTCCCTCTGGGGTGCCTCTTTTTGTGTTCTCATTCTCCTACCCTTCCTTCTATCAAAGTCTCCTCAGCTGCCAAATTCACACTAAGGTACAAATGACTCATAACATTATTGCCCCTCCTTATTGTTGCATTTTAATGGGGTTAACCTACTTAACCCAAAGGAACGTGTTTCAGGCATCCGTTCGGGCCCTCCTAGAGGCCTCCAAACTTTAATACTTTGCCCTGAGGTTTGTAGAGGTCAGAGGACTTGTCTAATATTCACCTCTCCCCGACCCCCAACCCTCCAGGGCTGCGTGCAGAGTGCAGTGTGCAGTAAAAGCTGACATTTCTGACATAGCTCTCGTGATGATAAACCCAGTTGTTCTGCAGCCCTGGAGAAAAACACATCATGAGAATGAAGGGAAGATACACATATGTGTCAGAAAGGTCCTTACAGAATTTTCCAGCTGGAAGAGAATGTAGCATGTGGGGGAAGGGGGGGATGCAGTCTGGCAGTGAGACAATCATAGCCATGGGAGCTAGAGTCCATTCCCTTCAAGGGGTTCTAGGGCTGGGGGAAGCATTCTTTTAGCTGTGGAGCAAGGTTAAATACAGTGGGGAGCAGAGGCTTAGCTCTCATCTGTAGGCACTTGAGGTCTGCTTGGCTTCAGATAAGACATTGGCATTCCAGACTTCACAGCAGAATGCAAATCATCCCAGAGGAAGAGCAATAAACAAATATGTGCATGCTGGGGAGGGAAGGATTCAATATTAATTAGCAGTAGGCCATCAATATCCAGGAGTCAGCAGCCATATTTTGGCCTCATGTCTACCTTGGATGACAGGTGGCTGGAAGCATTTCAAATATCTAGATAGATAGTTTTTTTAATCTATTCGAACCAACTTTGATTCTTGACAAAGGCCAGCAAAGCAACAAGCAATTTGCCATTTTGTTTCCTGGCTTCCCCAGCACTCAGCCCATCCCAACAACCATGAGGGAGTCCTGGGACTTTGAGAGAGCTGAGGAGAAAGGGAAGAATTGAATCTCTTCATCCCTGGAACTATTCACCAGTGTACTGGTCTGGCCTTCAGTGCCACATTTGGCAGATGGTAAAAATGGTGGCACACTTGACAGTATCCATTCACTGGCCCCTTGTTTCCTATTGGATTCTTGGCCTCTGACATTAAAATATGCTGGCCATAGAAAGATAGGTGCTGATGGGAGTGCATGGGAAGGGTTCTAAAACCCCATTTTTACCACCATACAAATCCATTATAACACTAGGTAAAGTCCTCTTAGAGGGCAATAAAAGTCAACAGCAACTGTTCTCATGGGCTTACTCAGAAGGACTGGGATCAGGGTCATGTGAAAGGGTCATGAGGATATCAAGGTCAGAAATGTAATTATTATCAATCACTCCTATTCCTGGAAGAAGCAGTGTGCTAGGGTGACAAGAGGGAGGAGATTAGAGTCAGGAAGACTTGGATTCAGATCCCATCTTCAATACTTACTAGCTAGGTAGCCATGGGGAAGCTACTCTGACCTCCAGACTCTCTCTAAGACCTGATTACTCAATTATAAACAAGTTATAATCTGAGTTGATGGGGGGAGTTCCTATTCCAAATAAATTTTTAAAAAAATCCATGGCCTTCCAAAAAAAAGGGAAAATGACTTATTTGTACAAAAAATATTTATAGCGGCTCTTTGTGGTGCCAAAGAATTAGAAATTGAAGAGATGCCCATCATTTGGGCAATGACTGAAGAAGTTGTATATAGTTTGATGGAATACTATTGTGCTATAAGAAATAACAGCAGGATGGTTTCGGAAAAAACCTGGAAAGAATTATATGAACTGATGCAAAGTAAATCAAGCAGAACCAGAAGAACATTGTAGAAAGTAATGGCAATATTGTGAGGATGATCAACCATGAAATACTAAGGTACTCTGATTGAGACAATGATCCAAGACTGTTCAAAAAGACCCATGATAAAAAATGCTATCTACCACCAGAGAGAGAAATGATGAACTCTGACTACAAACTTAAACATATTTTTCTTGCATTCTTTATTTTTCTTGGGGTTTTATGTATAACTGTGTGTGTTTCTTTTGCAACATGGTTAATATGGAAATATATTTTGCATGACTTCACATATATAATCAATATCATATTGTTTATCTTCTCAAGGGGTGAGGGATGAGCAGGAGGGAGGGAGAAAACTTGGAAATCGATTTTTTTTAAATGAATGTTAAAAATTTGTTAAGTGTAACTGGGAAATATTTAATGAAATAAATAAAATATGTTTACATGATTTTCTGATTTATTCCTATACCTGATAGCTTCTCTTTACCTCCCATTCTCTTCTCCTTACTGACCAAGAAGCTATAAAGAGTGTTTTGCTCAGTAAGAACCTACCTGCTCAAATATTTCTGATAAAGGACTGATATCTAAGATATAGAGAATTGCCACATATATAAGAACAAGAGCCATTACTCATTTGTTAAATGATATGAGCAAGCAGTAATTAAAGTAAGAAATGCAAGTTATCAACAGCCATAGGAAAGGATGTTTGAAATTGCCACTAGTAAGAGAAATACAATGTCAACACCTTTCAGATTGGCAACTCTGACCAAAGAGGAAAATGGCTAATGCTACAGGGGCATAGAAGGACAGGCATACTGATGCATTATTGGTGGAGCTGTGAATTAGTCCAGTCATTCTGGAAAGCAATTTAGAATTACCCTAGAAAAGTGACTAAACTATCCTGACTCTGACCCAGAGAAGTTAACAACATAGGGTAAGATTCCAAAATATTCACAGTGATGATAGTAAAGGACTGGAAGCAAAGTGAGTACCCATCTATCAAATAACTATCTATCAATGATGGGAGAAATTGGGGTATGTGAATGTAATACATTGCTATGCTGTGAGAAGTGGCATATATGAAGAATTCAGAGAAATTTGTGGATTGATTTAGAGCAAAGTAAGCAGAGGCAAAACAAATGAGATGATGGCCACCATAACGTAAAGGAAATCAATGCTGGAAGACTTCAATGACTGTACATGACCTCAGAAGACTCATGGTGAAATATGCCACCCACCTCTTGGCAGGGAGGTGGTAGATTAGACATTGTCAGATGTGGCCATTGGTTTTATTTGTTTAACTTAATTATACTTCATTGTTACAAAAGTGGGGGTATCATTAAGAATTGGCAGACTTTTCAAAATAAGTATCTATAAAATATTGAGAACCCACCTACTGATTTTTGGTAATGGCACTATGTCGTATGAAGGAAGACCAAATCAAAGTGATAATGGTTGTATGTCTTTTCCCTTTGTGCCTCAGTTTCCCTCTCTGTAAAATAAAGAGATGTGAATAGATGGTTTCTAAGGAGCTGCATTCCCGTTCTGCCATTTTTATACAGCTTAATATAAGTCAGAGTTTCTTAAACTGTGGGTTGCTACCACATATGCGGTCACAACCTATACTTTAAGAAGTGCTAAAGGGCTCACAAGTGGAAAAAGTTTAAGAAGTCCTGAATTATAGGTGATATACTATATAGATCCATCTTAGAGCCAAGATGATATGTCAGCTCAGTGTAAGTCCATTTTATGGAGGTTTGGTCAGTTTTTCAGTCCATCAAAGATCTGTGCTTTTGCTCCCCAACCAGTACAGAATGCCATGCCTCTGTGAAGCCAGTCTTTGAGAGTTGTTCTGACCAGAAAAGCCACAGGCCTGTGGCCAACCTAGCAATGAACCTTTGCAAACTCAGCTAGGCTGGCCCTCAAATGGCAAGTGTGATATGGATCCCGCCAGGCCCAGGCCCTTCTAGCTTGACAGCACCTGCCAGACTTTACCTTCTAGTGGCAGAGCTTTGGATAGAGCCAGGGTTGCCACCCCTCCACAGTGAGGCATTGGGTTCCAAGGAGACTGAAAGTTTGAAAAATGAAATGATTATTTGTGAAATATAAAATACCCTCTGGCATAATATAAAGGCAATGTCATTTTTTGGGGGGGGGTAGGCAGTGGGGTTAAGTGACTTGCCCAAGGTCACACAGCTAGTAAGTGTTATGTGTCCGAGGCTGGATTTGAGCTCAGGTCCTCCTGACTCTAAGGCTGGAGCTCTACCCACTGTGCCACCCAGCTGCCCCCAAAGGATTCAAGTTTCTTTCTTTCTTTTGTTGTTGTTGTTGTTGTTGTTGTTGGACTAGGCTGCCCGGGTCACACAGCTAGAGTGTCAAATGTCTGAAGCTGGATTTGAACTCAGGTCCTCCTGACTCCAGAGCCAATCCACCCAGCTGCCCCAGGCAATGTCATTTTAGAAGAGGCTACATTGAATGCTGATCTCTCTGCCCTACAGGTGCTTATAGTGTATTGGGGGACACTGCAGTTGCTTCACATCTGTCAGTGTTTAGTTAGTAAGGGCCTTCTAGGTGCTGGCACTTTACTGGGTGCTAGAGGTACAAAGATAAAAATAGAACAGTCCCTACCTTCAAGGAGCTTATACTCTACTGGGAGAAATAGCATCTGCCTAGATGAGTAAATATAAATTATGCACAAAAAACACACAGTAATGGGGGGGGGGCAAACAACTGAGGGAATTGGAAAAACCTTCCTGTAGGAGGTGGCTTTTGAGTCGAGCTTTGAAGAGAACTTGGACTTCCAAGAGGCAGAGGTAAGGAAGGGGAGCCAGTCTGACTAGAATGGAGGGTATGAAAGGGGCAGAACTGCATAATCACCCTGCAAAGAAGAAGGGGTTTTAAATGTCCAACACATGTGCTTGCATTTTGTTGTAGAAGCTTCTTGAGCCTAGGAATGGCATGATCAGCCCTGTGCTTTAGGAATATGCATCTGGCAGGGGGGTGGAGGATAGATTGGAAAGAGGCCATGGTGGGAGCAGTAAAACCCATTAGGGTCTCTGCTCCTGTGTGAGTGAAAGAAGGAGATGGAGTTAAGATATTGTTGAGGTCAAATGCATAAAACTTGGTGACTGGCTGTGGGTGGGGAGAGGGAAGCATTGTAGACAGCCTGGGAAGCTCAAGAAATGCTTCCACTACTAAGGGATGCATGGGGTGAAAAAAATTAGGGAGGGTAAGAAGTGGGAGAGAAGAGGGTGGCATGAGGGCCAGCCTACAAGGCAAATGAGTCCTGGGGAGATGGAGAAACTGCGACAGAGCTGAGGCTTGACTCACTTTCAGCGTAGCGTTTTTTTCCACTGTGCCACAATTCAAACCAGAAAACATTTACCAAATCTCTATTCTATAGTCAAGGCCCTACGGATATATAAAACAACAGTGCCATCAAAAGCTCACATTCTTTTGGGCCCAGACATGTCAATTTGAGGTCATTTGAAGGAGGAGGTGAGAGCCCTAATGTCTGGAGAATTGGTAGAGGCTTCACAAAAGGTGTGACAGCCTATGCTAAGCTTCCAAGGAAGAAATGAACTCTGGGAGACTGAGGTCCTCTGGGGGCTTACTCCTGTGAAAGCACAAATCTGGGGAAGGGAGAAGAGGATCCAGCAAATCTGAGAGTGGTGGGTTGGCCAGCAGGGAGCTGGAGATGTGGCATTCCAGTTGAGAAGGATGCATTTCAGCCTCATGGGAGCAGATGTTGTCACCAAGGCAGAGAATGTTAGGGGAGAAGAGAAGAAGGGGCAGCTAGGTAGCACAGTGGATAGAGCTCCATCCTTGGAGTCAGGAGGACGTGAGTTCAAATCTGGCATCAGACACACAACACAGGACACTTACTAGCTGTCTGACCCTAGGCAAAGAAGTCACTTAACCTCGATTGCCTAGCCAAAAGCAAAAAAAAAAAAAGGGGAGGGAAGAGGACCAGGACAAAGCCCTGGGAGATGCCCCTAGTGATGGTGTAGGAGTGGAAAGAGATGATAAATACCAAGAAGGCTGGATATCCACGTGAGGGGGGAAACACAAGAGAGCAGTAACAGGGAAGCTAAGGGAAGAGAGAAGGAGGAAATGCTTAATATTTTCAACAGCTGCAGAGAGATCGAAGAAGACACAGACTCAGAAAAGGCTTTTCAACTTAGCAGTTAAGAGACTTGGCAATTTTAGACAGTGAAGTTTCAGCAGAATGATGGGGTCAGGGGCCAAATCACAAGGAGTTGGGAAGTGAGTGGGTGGAAGGACAGTGATTGCAGACAACTTTTTTTCTGTTAGTTTGGGAGTGAAAGAAGAGAGGGAGCTGGAGAAGAGGGGAACTGGCAGCTGCTTGGCATCACTACAGCCCAGGGGCTCATGATGCTGGACAGTGACTTTGGTGCAGGGCCAGCCTGGTGCACAGACCCATTCCATCTCCCCACACCAGAGCTGGGCATGCTTGTAGGGAGTCCGGGCAAGTTATCTTGGCTACTCATCTGCTGGTGATCAGGACCTGAGGCTGACCTTGCACACCATTCCAGCTGTATACTTTTAATAGCAAGTCATGTGAGGTTCAGGCCCCCTTTCTCTTCCTCACCTGTGACTCGGTGCATGCCTCCTGGGGCAAAAATTTCTTTTCCAAATGAGTGTTTTTCTAAGAAGGGGTTAAAGAAGACACAATCACCCTATGTGGAGCTGAACCTTTTTATTCTTTTGAAACTTGATTCTCAAAACCCCTTTTAAAAGCCACGGAGAAGTCAGGGAAGTCACTTTTAGAACAAGATTTTATAATTAAAAATGATCTGAGGGGAATGACTGAACAAATTGTGGTACGTGAATGCAATGCACGGCAATATTGTTGCACCTTGAGAAATTATGAATCTGAGGAATTCAGAGGAACATGGAAAGTCTTGTATGGATCATTACAGAAGGAAATAAGTAGAATGAAGAACACTAATCTTTACACTGA